TTTCAGGCAGGAAGTTGGCCCTTGGTGATCTGGGACTCACAACCACCTCCCCACTGCCTCACCCCCAGCAGTTCCCCAAAGGCCAAAAGCTATTCTTGTCTTTTTCTAAAAGAGGCATTTGAAACCATGAGCCAATTTTTTCCATTCCTGAGCTTGGGTATCGTCTATTTCGGGCATTTGTTGTTTTCCATGAGTTGCAAATGCTGCTGTGAAGCTGGCCTTTCCTGGACAGCTAGCACGGGGAATGAGGAGTTAGGCAAGCAGGGTGGGGCTGCGTTAAAAATACTTCCCTGCTTCGTTTCTCCTTTGAAAACAAAGCCCTAGGGGCCTTTGGCAACTGCTGAGCCTGGGAACTGAGCTTCCCAGGATAGAAGACTGGCTATGCATTCTGTTTCCTGAGGGCACTGGAGGGGTTTGTGGGTCCCAGACGACACAAAAGCACTGATTTTACTGTGTGACTTTGGGCAGTTCGCTTAACCTCTCTGGGCCTGGTGGCCTCCTTTCTAAAATGAGACCAGGTGGACAGATGATCTTGAATGGTCCCTACGGCTCTGAGAGCTCCAGGATGAGAACCACCCCCGGGGCCAGATTTTCTTCCTAGAAATGGGCTAACAAGAGGTGCTAGGACATGGAAGTGGGAGTTAGAAAGCAGCTTTTAGCTCAGTCTGGGAACACTTTGTGAGCTCTTTAGCCCTGAAACTGTTCTAAGGGGGTCTATAATGTTCTCAGCAGGATTCATGTAATTCCAAAAAGATTAAACGCTATCAAGAGGAGATTAAATACACTGTGCTGGGCACACAGCCCAGCAGTTCCCAAAGAAGCAGATCTGTGTTCTAACAAGGAAAGTCTGTAAGATCTAGCGGTAATCGAAAAAGCAAGTTTCAGAATGCAGCAATGAGAATTGTATTGTTTCCTTAAACATACACATAAAACAAAGCTATATATTTTTCTATACCTGGATACACACATATTTTTGAAAATACATAGGGAAAGTTCTGGAAGACTTCACCCAATCTGACGGGTCCTTAACTCTGGGGCAGGGAGGGAACTGGATTTGGGGTGGCATCAGAGAGGGCCGATCTACTTGCATGTTTTTACAGGAAGAATGTGTTTATTTATTAAGTGATGGTTTGTTTTTCTTATTCTTGAGACACACAAAGAGACATCAGGACACTGAGGGGCTAGGTGACCCCTCTGTAGGCACAGAGGCGTCCTGGCTTGGGACCCTGTGGTTGAAGAGTGCAGGAGGAGGGCGGCTTTGGGCCGGAGTGGAGGTGTGTGAGATGGAGGCTTGAGCAATGGAAGTGTTTACGCTTTTAGCCAGACGAATGAAGATGTCTGTTTTCCGCAGGATTTACGGGCCATTGTAAATTACTTTCTATTGCAAACAGTTGCCTCAGGAAGCAATTAAATTTAGATCCTATCGTTCCCAGGCTGGCACAGGCAGGTGTTGACTTGCTGAGGCTTTGCACAACAGCCCTTGTCTGTCAGAATGTGCCCAGCTGCCTGGATGGCAGAATAACCCTAACGCTTGGTGGGATGAGCTGCTGTCTTATAAGATAGTGAGTTCCTTGTCAGTAGGGGTATCCAACCCACAAGTGAGGGGTTGGCCTAGATTGTGACCCCAGAGGCTGCATCCAGAGCTCCATTCCCAACTTTGGGCCTAGTGCCTGCCAGTGAATGCTTCCAGAATGGACAAAGGTGCTTCCTGATGGCATCCCATCATAGTGTCTTCCACCACAGCCTTAGCTCTTCTGGAGGGGAAAGTGGCTTGTGAACTCGGCAGTGGGATGCATTGTTATAATGACCGTTACGATTGTTCTGGGTGTCTATTACCAACTCTACAGGTGCTGGCTCTTACAAGCCCACCCATTACGAGGGAGACAGGGGATTTATCCTGCAGAGCCCACAGTGTCATCTGCTCTAGACTGAGCCTGCAGACATCTTCCATCCCAGGGCCAAAAAGTAAGGGCCAGGGTTTCAGGTTCACCAAACTGCAGCCCTGGCCCATTCTTTTAGTGTGAGGAGGGGCACCAGTATGACAAGTGGTCAGTAATGGGTGCAAAGTGGGTGGGGGGGATGCCTGGGTATGAGGGCTCCTCTTCCTGGGTCTAGCTCTGGCTCCAACACCTACCAGCTGTGTTACTTGAGCTGATCTCTCAGACCTCAGTTTTACCCTACAAAATGAGGACAATGATGGTGTGAAGTGCATACAGCTATTATGAGTATTAAAATTCATCAAGCTTTTTTTTTTTTTTCTTTTTTTTTTTTTTTTTTTTTGAGACGGAGTCTCGCTCTGTGGCCCAGGCTGGAGTGCAGTGGCCGGATCTCAGCTCACTGCAAGCTCCGCCTCCCGGGTTTACGCCATTCTCCTGCCTCAGCCTCCCAAGTAGCTGGGACTACAGGCGCCCGCCACCTCGCCCGGCTAGTTTTTTTTTTTGTATTTTTAGTAGAGACGGGGTTTCACCATGTTAGCCAGGATGGTCTCGATCTCCTGACCTTGTGATCCACCCGTCTCGGCCTCCCAAAGTGCTGGGATTACAGGCTTGAGCCACCGCGCCCGGCCCTGTGTAGCTTCTATGTGCTAGGAACAGTGTTCCTGTCCTAGGTAACCACCTGCTGAGACGGAAACCCTGAGCCTCCCTTTCTTCCTCTTTGGCCTGCACAGGTCCAAGTTGCTGCTATGGCTGGCTGGGCACCTCCTCCTGTCTCCATTCACCCTAGGCCTCATTCCCACCTCCCACAGCCTGAACTCATGCCCCCTCTTAGGACTACTCAGCTTGTAGCTGCCACACTCTGTCTGCATTATGTATGTGGGCATTGACTATTACTGGCAGGCCTGGCCACAGAACCTAGGCCAAAGATTTCCTAGTTCGGTCCCTGTCTAGCTCACACTAACCACCTCTCCTTTTTTTTTTTCCTTTTTTTTTTGAGGCAGGGTCTCCGTCTGTTGCCCAGGATAGAGTGCAGCGGTGTGATTGCAACATACTACAGTTTCGACCTTCTGGGCTCAAGTGATCCTCCCGCCTCCTCCTCCCAAAGCACAGGGATTCCTCACCTGGCCTTCTCTGTTGGACTGGGTGGGGAATGGGAAATGCACAGGGCCACTTTCAAATCAAAGTCAGAAGCACTTTGCTCGCTCCACAGAGCCCTCAGTGCTCTGCTGAAAGCAAGGAGGATTTTTCCAAGGCTCTAGTTTTGCCTCCAGGGAAACTGAGGCACAAGGCATCAATGATTCCTGGGGGTCCTGCCTCCGCTCCTCTAGGTGAGTAGCCTTTTCCATGGGCCCCACTCTGAAAGCCGAGAGGCGAGGGGCACGCACTACAATTCCCAGAGGTCCCCGGGCGCGGGAACGTCCCCCCCACCCCACGCCTCCCCCGCACGACGGAGCCGGGCTCACCAATGGGAGCCCAGAGTGGGGCGAGCAGGGGCGGGACGGGGCGGGGCTGCGGGGAGGCGGCCGGCGGGCGGCGCCGCGAGCCAGTAGCTCAGAGAGCGCGGGATCCGGACAGCCGCGCGCTGAGGGTCTCGGGGCGAGCGCCGCGGACGTCGCCGGGCCATGGGTAAGCGGCTCCACGGCGCGGCCCGGGCCGGGGCTCGGCGGCCCTGCAGGGTGGGCCCAGGTGCCGGCGCCGGGTCCCCTCCAGCCCTCGTGGCGGTCGGGGCGCTGTGCGGGGCGTAGAGGGGTCCGCGGTGGGCTGCGGGGCGCGGGCCGAAGGGAGCGAGCCCGGCCCGCGGCTTCAGCGCTCCCGGCCGACGCGGAAGGGGTGAGGCCGGGCGTCCGCGCGCGTTTCGAGAAAAGGAAAGACAAAAAGTTTTGGCGGCCAGGGGCTTCCCGGGCGTTTATCTCGAAACTCTCTTCGCCGTCTCTTGCCTGAAATGTGCCGAGCCCGGCACGGCGCTGTCGTCCCACTTCCTGCTGCGGTTTCCCCCGCGAGCCGGGCTCAGCTCCTGTGTTGTGACAGCTGCCGGCGGCCGCCCTCCGCCCCTGACACCCCGCGGGTTTCCGAACCGCGGCGCCGCCGGGCGGGCGCAGACTCCGGGTCCGGGGCGCGCGGCCCTTCCCTCTGCGGCGCCGTTTCCTGCAGGGGCTGCGCGGGTGCGAAGAACTTGCTCAATGCGCTGTGAAGGCTCCACGGTTCCTCTTTCGGCCGCGGGCTGCGCCGATGGTCCGGGGCGCCCGGCTTCGCGCCCCTGCCCCTTCCTTCTCTTCCATTCTCTCTTTCCCTCTCCCGTCTCCCCGCCCACCCGCCGCAGCCCCGCAGGAGAGGGGTCGCTTCCCTGGTTCCTCTCCTGTCCCTTATGTGTCCCCTTCTTTTCCCTCGGTCTGCAGAAGGGACGGGGCGGCGGGTGGGGAGCGCCGGGGGAAGAGGGCAAGGGCGCGGGCAGCGATGCCCGGCTTCGCGCTCGGCGGGAGCTGCGGGGCAACCCGGGCCCGCGCTCAGTCTCTCCGCGGTGTCTAGGGGTCGCCCGGGCTGGGGTCGCGTCTTCCTCCGCCCAGCGCCGGCGTGGTGGGGTTTGCGCGATGCAGGACCCCCGAGGGCACGGGGGGTCCCGAGGCGCTGCGGGTCCAGTGTCCGTTTGTTTGCGGAGTCTTGGGTCAGTAAAGAGGGCTCCGCGGGCCCCAGGGGAGGACAACAGGTGCCTCTTGCGCCACCCGGGCCCCACTGGTGGGAGCCCACACGCACGGTGGCGTCTCTGCCTACAGGCAACGCTAGAGCACAGGAGGGGTGGGAGATGGGGCTCGAGGACTTCACCCCACGGCAGAGCTCAGAGCCCAATCCAGGCCGTAGGGACCCGCCTGGGGCCTAGAACTTGGTGTGGCAGAGGTAGAAAGGGCCTCCGACAATCTGCCTCTGCATTTGGGAGACGTCACCTGGCACCTCTGAGCCTCTGTCCCGTAGGTGGAATGGGGACACACGAAGCCATCTGAGGAGCTCTCACTGTCACCACCAAATGTGGTCCAGACTCAGTGGGGAGGGACAGCCCCATCCTGGACTTGGGGCTTTTAGGACATCCCAGAACCTGGTAAGAGGGACAGGGAGAGTGGGGCTTGGAAGTTGATAGCCTCACATTCAGTGTCCCCCGCACCTCCTTCCCCTTCTGTACCCTCTGGTGGCTCTTGTGGCCTCAGCTGCTCCCAGACCCTGCCTCTCTCGCCCTCCCCCAAGCTGCGGTACTGAGGCCGGGTCGTGGCTTGAGCTGCACCTGTGCCCCGGTAGGGAGTGGGGGTCCCAGGCCCATGGCGTTTCTCCTCATTGCTGGCTCCAGCTCAGCCCCTGGCAGGCGCCCCGGCCGTCCCCAGACTCCTGGACCAAGCTCCGCGGAGCTCGGCCTGGCCGCCGCTCCCGGGCTGCCAAGTGGACCGGCCGTTTCGCCGCTTCAAAGGCTGTCTTTGTTTCGCTCCAGCTCAAGCTCAGAGAAACTTAAGCCAACAACCTCAGCCGAGGGGGCGGGGCGGCGTCTGCTGGTTGTTATTGAGGCTGCTGTTACCATTATTGTGGTAATTGACGCACTGTTCCCAGTCGGTGACTTTTCATGAAAGGAAGTGTCACTTCCTTCCCATCACACCCAGGGTGAATGGGGCGGGCAGCAGAAAGATGGGGAGGGAGGGAGAGAAGGAAAGGGGTGTGCGCCTCCAGCAGACCCTTAGGCTTGAGAGCTGTGTGGCCGCGTACTAGTCACTGCCCCTCTCTGGGCAACGGGGGTCTGTAAGTCCTGCGCCCAGGAGGCTGATGTTTCCGGAGCAGCTGCTGGGCAGCGAGGTGCCTTGGGGAGGGAGCAGGACAAGCAGGCCTCCGGTCTTCTCACTGCGCCTGGCTGTGGTTTGTGGGGGAAGCCTCCTTTCTCTTCTCGCTTTCTTCCGCTGAGAACACTGCGCACATGGAGTCTAGCACGCCCATCTTGTGGATGGGAAAGGGAGATACAGAAGCAGTGACCAACTTGGTAAGAGGTGCAGCCATGCGGTGCTAGAGCCCCTTGCTCCGTCTGCCCTCTTGGCCCACTCTCATGTCCTTACAGCTTGATGTCTGCCAGGGCAGGGGGCCCGCTGACTTCCCCACATCCACCCACTGCCCCGCCCCATAGCTACCTTCTGGTCCTAGCTAAGCCCCATGAGACATCTTAAGTTTGTCCTCAGTGACTCTCGACCACCGCCCCACTGCCTTCACCTTCCTGCCTTTGCGTACCCCAACTTCACCAGGTTGGCTGGGCCCTGGCCAGAGCTGGCCCCCTACTCCCTTAGGTAACGGAGCAGTTTTTTAAAAGGAATCTCAGTAGGTATCAACAGGTCTTTCCTCCTTCCTCAAGATTATGGAGATAACACCCCTTATTCAAAGATGATGGGTCCTCTGGGCCCTCCCCCACCCAGGCCAGGGAAGTTGATTCACAGGGTGTGGGGGCCGTGCCCCCCCCACACCCCGGCTGCCCAGCGCTCTGACCAGCCCCCTCCCATCCCTGAGCCTGGATGCCTTAGCAGGCAACACAGACCTGCTCTTGCTAGCAGAGTGACTGCAGCGATATGCTGGGAAACTGCACATCTCCTTGGGGAAGGGGGATGAGTTTGCACCCTCTGAGCACAGATAAGGAACCTGAGGTCTCCCTGCTCCCATTACAAAGAAAAAAGACTTTAGCTGTCAGGGATCAGCGTCTCTCAGGAGTCAGACTACCCTGGTTCTGAATCCCAGCTCTGCCATGGATAAGCTGCGTGGCCCCAGGCAAGTCACTGAACCTCTCTGAGCCTCAGGCATTCTCTCTGTTATATCTGGATGGCTGGGAAGATTCAACAAAGCAGTGTTGTATGAGATGCCCAGCCCACGCCAGCCAGGGCACTGATTTGAGTCGGTGGAGCATATAACTTGAGAACAAGTAGACCTACGGAAGCATCCTCTACTGGAGGGAGCGACAGATTAACCTCTTCAGTGCTGGAGTGGTAGGATCTGGGAGTTGAGCTTGACTCAGACAGGCGCCATGGAGTTAGAAAGAAATGAGACTCATAGCACAGGAAGAGCCTCAGGCAATCCTCCCGCCCAGCACCCTGCTGCAGCCTCTGTCTGCCTAGTGAGGGACGGGGTCACTAGGAGCCCAGGCTCGTCTTCTGGTGCAGCCACCTAGCCTGCCCTGGCCCTCTTCCCAGCCGTGAAATGAGGAAATTGCAGGGGGGCTTGTGGAGTGAACTACCGTTGTCAGGGTTTTTCTAACACCATTTTCTAGCTGCACAAAACCCAAGGAACAAACTAGGAATAAACCTCCCCAAGAAAGCACAGGGGCTTTTTAAGAAGGAGCTTCTGAGGACTGCAGAGGGAAACGTGAATTATGGAGACACATGATCCTGAAAAGAAAGATGCAGTACTGTAAAGGTATTATTTTTCCTCAAAGTAGTTTCTAAACTTAAATGCAATCAAAGCCCTAGTAGTGGGAGTTGTTTGTTTGTTTGTTTGTTTGTTTTGGAGACAGAGTCTCTGTCACCCAGGCTGGAGTGTAGTGGCTTCATCTCAGCTCACTGCAACTTCCACCTCCTGGGTTCAAGTGATTCTCCTGCCTCAGCCTCCCGAGTAGCTGGGATTATTGGTGTGTGCCATCATGCCCAGCTAATTTTTGTATTTTTAGTAGAGACGAGGTTTCACCATGTTGGCCAGGATGGTCTCGATTTCTTAACCTCGTGATCTGCCCGCCTCGGCCTCCCAAATGTGGTTTTTTTTTTTTAATTTTTTTGTTTTGTTTTGTTTTAAGAGAATGTAACAGAATTATCCCAAAGTTCAGATGGCATATTTTAAAAAGACAAGTAATATTGGGCAACTTGCCCTCTGGATAGTAAGTTGTTTTATAAAGCTACAGAAAATTAAAACAGTGTGCACAGGTCCTAGCATTCCATCGTGGATGAAACAGAATAGAAAGTCCAGAAATAGTCCCACATGTGTTCCTTATAAGCATTGACATTGTGGGGAAAGTAGCTTTTTACACCACTGGGGGAGGAGGCCACTCACTGGGACCCCCTAACCAATGGGGAGAAAATATGGCTAGGATCCCTATTTCATCCTGTATACAGGAATAGATTCCAGATGTGTTACGAGTGAGTAATGAGACAGTAATCACCATCATCATCATTATTGCTTGCTGGATGGAGAAAGGTGAAGTCTGGATGACATTCTTATGGAGAGCACTTTTCTTTTTTGCATTTGATCCCCCACTTCTGCTACAAATGAAACATGCAAGGCATGGTGCCAGGAGGGCGTCTGCACACAAGGCTGGGAACAGGGCAGCAGTGCGGTGGCTCGTAGCAGCAGCAGCTCTCGGGCAAGTGGGTTTCTCCTGCCTCTGTGGGCTGGGTGGGGCCGGGAGACGGGGCCTCCAGCTCCATAAGCTTTTTCCCTCCTCCGCAGAGCCAGGAGAGGGCCCACCCCACCGCGCAGGTCCTGCCTGCCTGGCTGCCAGCTCTCTACCTCCCAACGCAGGACCTGTGTGGCCCAACATCTATGGCGGTGGGTTTCAAGCTTATTTTTTTATAGCATTTATTACATTTTTTACAAATGTAACCCTGATCTGTGAATGATCAGGGAAAGGGAGAGATTAGGGCAGCGAGGGACAAGACGGAGGGCACCCTGAAGACCAAGGGGGAGAGGACTGTCCCTTCTCGTTCATCTAATGCTGCGGAAATGGGGGTCCAAAGGCCTGCAACCCAGAGCGCCCTGGCAGGACAGAGCACCCACGCTGAGAAGGGAGACCGAGTTCATTTGGGGACTCGGCTGGACACAGAGATAGAATGTTTCCCTATGTGGCTTAAGGCGACAGCTCCAATCCCTTTCCCATCTGGGGTTAAACAGCTCAAACTGGAGACCTCCTTTCCAGGTAACACCAGTGCCTGACTCTGGGAGATCTTCCCCCACTGTGGTCCAGGCAGAGCTCACAAACTCTGAACCACGCAGAAGGGACTAGGGCCCCTCTCGCCCTGTGGCTCGCAGCCTGGCTGCCCACTGGGATGCCCTGGGGAGCTTTGACCCTGCTGCCCCACCTTGGACCTTAAATCAGACTCAGAGGGTGGGGCGGGAGCATCAGCGTCTTTCCAAATGCTCCTCCAGGTGATTCTGATGGGCCCTGTCTAACCACAGTATTTTCCTGAAGCCCAAGGGGCAGCGACTTGCCAGGGTCACATAGCAAGTCAGTGACTGAGAAGCCCCAGTCATACCAAGGAAGACGTGGAGAGGGTCCCTGGATGCCGAGGCTCTGGGGCTGCAGGAATGAGGGGAGGGGATGTGTGAGCCGAGGGCAGCAGGCAGCGGGAGAAGAGCCGGTGGAGGAAGTGCTCCTGGACCTGGAACGTTTTGGGAATTCACAGATAGCTAGGAGAGAACTCAAGGATCTTCCTCTCCCATTTCACAGCAGGGAAGACTGAGGCACAGAGTCACAGAGGACTTGGCTGGAAAGGCATCAGGCTGGTGGGTCACTTGTTAGTACCCAGGATTTCTGGAGACGGGTGTGTCAGAAGCTAGCCCAAGAGGGTGGCCCCGGTCTCTTTCTCTTTGACAAGCCTTAGGATTGGTTTCTCTCCAGGCTTACTTGGACTCTTCATGAAGGCTTTGCAAATGTTGGTAACCACAGCAGCCACTGGACCAGAATCAGACCTTGATTTGAATCCTGGTCCGCCAGGGAGTCAAGCGACTTACCCATAACCATTCTGGCTTCAGATTCCCCCTCCTTCAAATGGAATTCCTCCGGGACTGAGGGAGCGAATGTGCAGGCACCCCTTGCTCTATCATGCTTTGCTTTATTGTACTTCACAGATACTGCATCTTTTACTCATTGAAGGTTTGTGGCAACCCGGCATCGGGCAAGTCTATCGTTGCCATTTTTAACAGCATGCGCTCACTTTTTGTCTCGGTGTCACCATTTCATGATTCTTACAACACTTCAAACTTTTTCATTACTGTATCTGTTATGGTGATCTGTGATCAGTGATCTTTGATGTTACTATTGTCATTGTTTTGGGGTACCATGAACCCCAGCCACAAAGACAGCGAACTAAATCGATAAAGGTTGTGTGTGTTCGTCCTCCACCTGCTCCATCAACCAGCATTCCCCATTTCTCTTCCTCTCTTTCTCTTCTGTGGCCTCCCTGTTGCCTGAGGCACAACAATGTTGAAAGTGGGCCAATTAATCCTATAGTGGTCTGTAAGTGTTCAAGTGAAAGGAAGAGTTACAGGTCTTTATCTTTCAATGAAAAATAGAAATAATTAAGCTTAGTGAGGAAGGCAGGTCAAAAGCCCAGACAGGCCGAAAGCTAGGCCTCTTGCACTGGTTTGCCAAGTTGTGAATGCCAAGGAAAAGCTATTGAAGGAAATCAGAAGTGCTGTTCCAGTGGAATACACATGGTAAGAAAGCGAAAAAGCCTTATTGCTGATAATGGAGAAGGTTTGCGGGGTCGGGATAGAAGATCCGACAAGCCATCACTTAAGCCAAAGCCTCATCCAGACCAAGGCTCTGAATCTCCAGTTCTCTGAAGGCTGAGAGAGGTGAGGAAGCTGCGGAAGAAAAGTTGGAAGCTAGCAGAGGTTGCTTCATGAGGTTTCAGGAAAGATGCCATCTCCATCACATAAAAATGCAAGGTGAATCAACCAGGGCTGCTGTAGAAGCTGCCGCAATTTATCCAGAAGATCCAGCTGAGATCATTGATGAAGGTGGCCACACTACCACAGATTTTCCATGTAGATGAAACAGTTTTGTATCAGAAAAAGATGTCATCTAGGACTTTCATAGCTAAGACGTCAATGCATGGCTTCAAAAGACAGGCTGACATGTTAGGGCTAATGCAGCTGGTGGCTTTAAGTTGAAGCCAATCCTCATTTATCATTCCAAAAAAACCTAGAACCTTGAACAATTATGCTAAATCTACTCACTCTGTTCTACAAATGAAATAACAAAGCCTGGATGACAGCACATCTGTTTATAACGTGGCTTACTGAGTATTTTAAGCCAACTGTTGAGACCTACTGCTCAGAAAAAAGATTCCTTTCAAAATATTACTGCTCATTGAGAAGGCAACGGGTCACCCAAGAGGGCTGATGACAGTGTACCAGGAGCTGCATGTTCTCATGCCTGCTGATGACAGTGTACCAGGAGCTGCATGTTTTCATGCCTGCTGATGACAGTGTACCAGGAGCTGCATGTTCTCATGCCTGCTGATGACAGTGTACCAGGAGCTGCATGTTCTCATGCCTGCTGATGACAGTGTACCAGGAGCTGCATGTTCTCATGCCTGCTGATGACAGTGTACCAGGAGCTGCATGTTCTCATGCCTGCTGATGACAGTGTACCAGGAGCTGCATGTTCTCATGCCTGCTAGCACAACATTTATTCTAGAGCCAAGGATCAAGGAGTGCTTTCAAGTTTCAAGTCTTATTATTGAAGAAATCCATTTTGTAAGGCTATAGCTGCCATAGACAGTGATTCCTCTGATGGATCCGGGCATAATACACTGAAAACCTCCAGAGAGCATTTAAGGAACATTTGTGATTCGTGGGAGGAGGTCAGAATATCCGAGCATTTGGAAGAAGTTGATTCCAGCCTTCACGGATGACTCTGAGGGCTTCAGGATTTCAGTGGAGAAGTCACTGCAGATGCGGTGGAACCTGCGAGAGAACTAGAGTTAGAAGCAGAGCTTGAGAATGAGACTGAATTGCGGCAATCTCATGATCAAACTTGAGTGGATGAGGAGTTGTTTTGTATGGGTGGGCAAAGAAAGTGACTTTTTTTGGTTTCTGGTTTTTTCTTTCTTTTTTTTTTTTTTGAGGCAGTCCTGTTCCATCGCCCAGACTGGAGTACAGTGGAGTGATCTCGGCTCACTGCAGCCTTTGCCTCCTAGGTTCAAAGGATTCTCCTGCCTCAGCCTCCCAAGTTGCTGGGACTACTGGGACCTACCCCACACCCAGCTAACTTTTGTGTTTTTAGTAGAGACAGGGTTTCGCCATGTTGGCCAGGCTGGTCTCAAACTCCTGACCTCAGGTGATCCGCCAACCTCAGCCTCCCAAAGTGCTGGGATGACAGGCATGAGCCACTGTGCCCATCCTAAAGTGGCTTCTTGAGGTGGAATCTACTCCTGGTGGAGATGCTGTGAACATTGTCAAAATGACAACAAGGGATTTAGAATGTTACAGAAACTTAGTTGATAAAGCAGCAGCAGGGTTTGAGAGAATGCACATCAGTTTTTTTTTTTTTTTTTTTTTTGAGACGGAGTCTTGCTCTGGTCGCCCAGGTTGGATGCAGTGGCCTGATCTCAGCTCACTGCAAGCTCTGCTCCCGGGTTCACGCCATTCTCCTGCCTCAGACCTCCCGAGTAAGCTGGGACTACAGGCGCCACCACCTCGCCCCGTCAGGTTCTTTTTGTATTTTTAGCTAAAACGGGGTTTTCACGTGTTAGCCCAGGATGGTCCCTCATCTCCTGACCTCGTTGATCCGCGCCGTCTCGGCCTCCCAAAGTGCTGGGATTACAGGGCTTA